CTGTCTACACTGAGAAGTCAATCTCTTACTTCCATCGTATGATGACAGTCAGTCAGATGATAGCATGATGATAGTCAGTCAGTTTTTTAGCTGTGACTAATCTGATTGCTTCTGAATGGCCATTGCATTCATAAGCTCAACAGAAGCGAGTGTGATTGCTTATTTTGTTTATGATTGTATTGTGAACAATCAACACTTTTCATTCAGATTTTGATTTCTCACAACTTGTGTGCTTTTCCTGGGGAGTGAACATGAACACGTAATCGTGCACGCAAACCAAGGTCAAGATTTTCGTTAAATAAATTAATTTTCAGTCTGTTTTTCACCAAACCTTATTGTATACCCCAGAACTCTTGGAATATACGACAACATGGGGTCATTCTGTGATACTTGTGCGTGTTTTTCTAAAAGCTTGATGCTGGTCGCTATTCACTGCCATTATATGGACGAGCGCTAGCAGGACATTTCTTAAAATTTCTCCTTTTGTGGTCTGAAATAGAAAGAAAGGCATAATAAACGAATAATAATCTTTTAGTAAATTATTGTCACGGTTGCCTTCTGTGGCGAAACGAAGAACGAGGAGACGTGCGATAAACTCAAAGTAACTGTCTTTAATCCTCCAAGACGAGGTAAAACAAGGCAGGCAGGGACACACAGGAAACACAACATCGACATTCAATACCGGACACTAGACTGGAAACAACTCAGGGCTTAAGTAATAGGGATTAACTAGATAATTAAACAAACACAGGTGGAGACTAATGAACTCATAATGAAACAATGAGGACAGGAACATAACCAAATATGGACATAAGGAAACATGAGGGAGAAACTTGAGGGAGGAAAACACAACAGGTCTGACAATGATGACTTAATTTTCATTTTTGGGTGAATAACTGTAATATATTTAGTTTAATTGTGCAGGGGCATCTTGAGGTTAGGGGCATTTTAGTGGCATGTTTGCCCCTGTTCATTTTCAAATTAAACACAGTTTTTTGGTTCTTTTTGTATCATCTTTTCACCTTCCAAGAGAACAGAAAAATATTCACTGGTTCTTGACTCAAATTCGACTAAAGCAAAAGTTTGATTTGTGAATTTCTGTGACTGAGCTCGTCAGGTTCTTTGACAATACAATGTAAAAAGTGATCAATTTAATTAATTCCGATTCAGAATTTTTGGTGACCTTGATATTGCCCATTTTAGTTTTATGAATTCGTTCATTTAAACACTTTTTGCTTATTAAAATTAAACTATTAAAACAGAATCCAGAAAAAATTTACATTAAGAAAAATGGAATTGAGAGAAAATAAATAAACTAAATGTTAAAAATAAAATAAAGCAGATTTTAAAGGCCCCTCAATAGATGTTTTTCCCACCGACTGAATAATTCCAGACAGAAAGTTTGGAAGAAATAAGTTCATTTAGTCTCAAATGGAGATATCAAAATGGAAAATTTAATTTGAT